ACAGAACATAAAACAATAATAACAACAATAATATAAGGAATAAGAAAAAATGTAAAAATTCAGAACAAAGATAAAAAATAAAGACCAAATTTCTAATTTTAGAAAGTGAAGTTGTCAATGGAAGAAGCAAAAATGTAATAGCAAGCACCTTTCACCTGCTTTAATTCAAATAACAAACAAAATTATTTAAAAAAAACAAGCCATTTAGACAAATAAATAAATACATTCCCGATTCTGCAATATTCCTCAAATGCACATTCCAAGCCTGACATCAGACTTACATGATCAGAAAGAGATTCTGAATGAATCATGGATACCTCCTCATCTTCTGCATCCTAATTGATCAAGATATTAATTAACACTAATTAGTTATCATTACTAATAATTGATGAATAATAATACTGAAAATTGGTTGTCCATTGGTATCTGTCTGTAAAAAGTTTTATAGCGCATCAACAAGAAAATGCACTTCAAAGGATAATATAGTACCAAGTTTTTTTAAATTTATTTAATTATTATTTAAAAGTTTTAATATTCTAGTAGGGAAGAAATTACTTTTATCCTAATGTCAATAATTTCTTTATCTATTATCTCAGATTTGGAAGCATATGAAGACAATTTAGGGGTTATATTACTGTAAGAATAATAGTACAGCACTTACTAATATAATAATATTGAAAAATCAAATCATGTGAGATAAATAACAGGACAAAACAATACCTATTATTATAGAGTGCTATGAAATTGATTTTCACAAAAATAAGTTTGGTGATTATTAATCTACACTAGGGAAGTGCTAACTATGATGTGAAACACACAAGATAAGAATTATTATACACGGGTGAATGATGTGTGTGTGCTACTGGTACATACAATAAACAGTTCACACCAGTTCTCCATATCTTAACAAATTTAACCAGGGCTGCCAAATAATTCTTTTTTAATTCATTTTTTAACCCTTTGTGTGCATATTTTTTTATTAAATATTAAAATAATTGGACGATTCTCCATATTTAATACTGTAGGTTAGCTTGTAACCCCCTCCCCCAGAGGATAAGACAACATGACAGCACCACCCAAATACAGTACCCTCCTAGGCAGCCCTGATTCTAGATTGCTGCATTCACTCATTCACTTCACATGTAGACATCTGATTGAAATGTAACATTATTGCTTAAACATATCTTACATCTTGTACCGGAGTATTATCCTCCTCCTCATCTGCTACTTGTTCAGTACTTACTCCTTCCTTCTCCTTTATTGGTAGGCAGAAGGAGAAAAGGAAAGAATGGAAAGATATCAAGAAGAAATGAAACAATCAAGTGTATAATGAAAAAGTAATTAAAACAATTGGAAAAGAGACAACTTTAGAAGGTTAAAATTAATATACAGATTTGAAAAGAGTAGAGGTGAACTGAACAGAAAGAAATGCTTTTTACTTTAGATTGCAAACTTTTGATAACACAGTGGACTTAAGCATGAGATTGGCATTAGCATATCATTACTACAGCATTTAGAAAGACCTCTTGCACTTTTCAACTTTACTAATTTTTTTCCTGATACTTCAACCTGGTGATCATTTTGAATTTCATCAATGAGATGATGTGAAATTAGATGCTGTATCCATACATCCCTGGATGAAAACCTTAATGACTTGAGCAATTATGAGATTATGCAGCTAGAGAACAACGTCCTCACTAAAGACATTATTGGATAAACAGAAGAGTACAGCAAATGCAAAAAAAATTACATTACTTTGCAAATTGGACAAATATCATTGGGTTTTACTAAAATCTAAAGCATGTGGAAACTCACGAAAACCTTCAAATACTATGAAAGCACTGAATTGCATTTACACTACCGTATATGGATAAAATAAGTTAAAACTTTCAATAAAGACCAATCACAAGAACTCAGTTTTTTGTGATTTACAAGTTTTTACCATGAAAATCTTGAAAGTGATAATTGCTAGTAAAACACTCAGCTGAAGCCAAGAAAAACATGGTAATATAAAGTTTCAGGATTCGGGAATGGAGTCAATTTATAATAAAAATCAAGGAAAGATGTGTATAAGAGACAGATGTGATACAGAACATAAAACAATAATAACAACAATAATATAAGGAATAAGAAAAAATGTAAAAATTCAGAACAAAGATAAAAAATAAAGACCAAATTTCTAATTTTAGAAAGTGAAGTTGTCAATGGAAGAAGCAAAAATGTAATAGCAAGCACCTTTCACCTGCTTTAATTCAAATAACAAACAAAATTATTTAAAAAAAACAAGCCATTTAGACAAATAAATAAATACATTCCCGATTCTGCAATATTCCTCAAATGCACATTCCAAGCCTGACATCAGACTTACATGGTCAGAAAGAGATTCTGAATGAATCATGGATACCTCCTCATCTTCTGCATCCTAATTGATCAAGATATTAATTAACACTAATTAGTTATCATTACTAATTAATGATGAATAATAATACTGAAAATTGGTTGTCCATTGGTATCTGTCTGTAAAAAGTTTCATAGCGCATCGACAAGACACTGTACTTCAAAGGAAAATATACAACCAATTTTTTTTTTTAAATTTATTTAATTATTTATTTAAAAGTTTTAATATCCTAATAGGGAAGAAGGGAAGAAATTACTTTTATCCTAATGTCAATAATTTCTTTATATATTATCTCAGATTTGGAAGCATATGAAGACAATTTAGGGGTTATATTATGGTAAGAAAGATGTGTATAAGAGACAGGGTGTAAGATGTGTCCATGCAGGTTGATGGATATAAGGACATGTATAGTATACTTGGGATAAACACTTGATAAAGTATACAAGCAAATAAGCAGGGGCAAGTATATACTGTAATTGAGTTTAAATACGCTTTTGCAGACACTCAATGTGGGTGTACCTAATACATAGGTGAACTATTATGTGTACACCATTGTACATATATATGTGCATCAATGATCATTTCAGATGACCATTATAATAATCTGCACCTGTACAGGTGTAAGACTATTATACAAACATGTGCAGACATACTGTATAGACATCTTTGTATTGTGTACATGTGCATGATAATGACAATAATTTGTAAAACTCTCTATTTACAGTAATAATTTCATCATTTAAGGAAATGTAATAATATAGAATAATTAAACCTACAATATATACAGTACAGTAATATGCGAGTTAAGCAACACTGTTTATAAAATTTCATTGAATTCATTAAACATTATGAATAGTGTTGGTAAACACAGAATGAAGAACAAAAATTACTGGTACATTAGCAGTATACTGAGTTCCATACTTAAAGGTACTGTACATGCAGTAAATGCATTATCAAGCAAATACTGGTAGCTAATAAAAAAACAAAGTTAACAAAACAGAAGAATTATTAAGACAGTACAACAAGGTCATCTCGCAATGTTTACGTAGTACTCTGTCTACGAGGAAGAATATTTAGGTTTTCAAGAAGTGACAATTGTTTCAAGGAAAAACCAAAAATGAAAAGAATAAAAGAAAAAATATAATGTAAAAGAATACATATATATAAGAAATATATATATATATATCGCCTTGAGACGATCTTATTGTGGAAGGCGCACTACAAATATCCCACCATTACCATT